GAGGCCCATCGGGGCTGTGGGCAGAGCAGCCCAAGACCAGGTGTGGTAAGAACTGGGACTGCGCCGATGGGCACCTGGCACGGTGTGGCAGCCCCGGGAGGGCCTGGCCTGGGTGCCATGGGCTAGTCCCCCTCCGCTCTGATAGACCCAGAGGAGTTATCCCCTCCCCTACCTTGTCTCCAGCCAACACCGCCCGAGACCGGCCCTGCTTTGAAATGGCTGGTGGTCCCCGCAGCTCCCGGCTGGGGGTGGGGGGGGGCCCAGGGGCTGATCTAGGCCCCCCCCCCGTGAGCACTCCCTGCGACCCCCCCAGCGGGCCAGAGCCCCGGGGTCCCACTCTCCCGCCAGGGCCGGCCACGCGGTTTCACCGCCTGCGTCCCACCCTGAGCTCTGCCCAGCGCGTCCGGCCAATGGGCCCCGGGGAGCCGTGTCCCCGCTGCAGCCCCCCGCCCCCCGGCCAGGAGCTGCCTCCCCCCCTCCCCGTTAACCAGCTGGGACCTGCATCCCTCCTCCCCCTCCTGTGCGGGAGCCGCAGGGTCTCCTCGCCCAGCTGGGAACTGGAGCCCCTCCTCCCCCTCCCCTGCCGGGAGCCGCTGCCCACCCCCACACACACCCGCAGGGTCTCCTCGCCCAGCTGGGAACTGGAGCCCCTCTCCCCCCCCCTTGCCCAGCTGGGGGGAAGGGGCTCTGGTTTCCAGCTGGTTAATGGGGAGGGGGGAGGCAGTTCCTGGCCGGGGCGGGGGGCTGCAGCGGGGACACGGCTCCCCGGGGCCCGTCAGCCGGACGCGCTGGGCAGAGCTCAGGGTGGGACGCAGGCGGTGAAGCCGCGTGGCCGGCCCTGGTGGGAGAGCGGGACCCTGGGGGTCTGGCCCGCTGGGGGGGTCGCAGGGAGTGCTCATGGGGGGGCCTAGATCAGCCCCTGGGATCCAGGACAGATGCCCAGCAAAGAGGCAGGGCTGTCGAGTGCCGTGGCCACGCCCCGGGGTCCGGGCGGGGATCGCCGGGCAGGCGCTGGGTGCTGGGACGCTGGCACAGACCCACAGGATCCGTCTCTGAGGGGACCCTTCAGTGCGCCAGACCTGACGGCTCTCACTTGCCCTTGGGGTGAGCCACGCAGCCCCCCCGCCTCCTGAGACTGGGCCTGCGGCCCCCCTGCTGCCCCCCATGAGCTCTGCCCTGGGGGAGCCAGGCCCTCGCCACAGAGATCAGTGCCCCGCGCCCAGCATGGGCAGCAACGCTCTCACAGCATCACCCCTGTGTCTTACCCTGCCGTGACAGCAGCCAGACCTTTCCCACCCCACTGGGCAAGAGGGGAAACTGAGGCGCACACACAGGACTTCTAACATATTACAACCCCCCTTTGTCCCAGAGGCCCCGTCTAAAAGCTGAGGGAAGCCGTGGTCACACCGTGCCTGGCCCACCTCAGCATTTCAAACAGCCCCTCGCTCAGCGCGTGCTGCCCCCCCTCACTCAGCGGGTGCTGCCCTTCCCCCCTCGCTCGGTGTGTGCAGCCCCCCGTGCCCTCCTCCCTCGCTCAGTGCGTGCCCCTCCCCGTGCCCTGCCCAGTGCGTGCTGCCCTCCCCCCTCGCTCAGTGCATGCTGCCCCCCTGGGTCCTCCCCCCTTGCTCAGCGCGTGCCCCCTCCGCCCTGCCCCCCCGTGTCACGGAGTGCGGGGACGTCAGGGCCCTGCACCCCTCTTCCTGCAATTCACTGTGACTCTCAGCCAGCCAGTAACACGGAGGGTTTATTGGACAGTAGGAACGCAGGCTACAACAGAGCTTGTAGGTACAACCAGGACCCCTCAGTCAAGTCCTTCTGGGGGGTTTAGGGAGCTTAGACCCCAGCTCGGGGTTCCCTGCGTTGCACCACCCAGCCCAAAACTCCTCCAGCAGCTCCCTCCCCCCCCCCCCATCCTCTCCTTTGTTCAGTCTCCCGGCCAGAAGGTGTCACTTCTCCCCACCCGCTCCTGGCCCAGGTTACAGCTCAGGGATCTTCCTTAACTCCCCTGCAACATTCCCAGGTCAAATCCGCCCGCTTCCTGCTCCGTCACAGCCTCCGCCCCCCCCCCCCCCCCTCAGCGCCTACTCCCGCCCCCCGAGCTCTCCCCCCTCGCTCAGCGCGTGCCGCACCCTGCCCATACAGCGTGTGCCCCCTCGCTCAGCGCCTGCTGCTGTCTCCCCAGGTGCTGAGGATCCTGGAGAAGCGGGGCCCCAAGCCGGGCCCGGGCACGGCGGACGACGCGATCGCCGTGCGGAACAACACCTACCAGATGCTGACGCTGCTGGCGGAGGAGCGGGCGGGCGCCGGGGCGGGCGCGGGGCCCATCCTGCAGCTGGTGCTGGCGGAGAACCTGCTCGAGCGCCTCCTGCACTGGCACCTGCAGCGGGACAGCGGCGAGGAGCAGCGGGCGGAGCAGCTGAAGCTCTACGAGATGCTGATCAGCCAGAGCCACCAGCCCCTGCTGCGCCACCCGCCCGTGCGGCGCCCGCTGCTGCGCCTGCTGAGCCTGTGCGCCGAGCCGGCCTCGCCCGCCCTGCAGACCAGCCTGGTGCTGCTGCTCAACCAGCTCTGCGGCTGCGTGGCCAAGGAGCCGGCGCTCCTGGAGCTCTTCTTCCACCGGCCCACGGAGCAGGGCCCCGGCGACCTGCTGCTCTTCTCCCTGCTCGTCCCCTTCATCCACCACGAGGGGCCCACGGGGCAGCAGGCCCGCGACGCCCTGCTGCTGCTCCTGGCCATGGCCGCCAGCAACCACGCCGTGGCCACCTACATCACCGGCAGCTCCTACTTCTGCCCGGTACGGTCCCACACGGCCCTGCGCCCGGGCTGCTCCCCGGCCGGTTCCACAGGGGGCCCCTCCCGGCCGGAGCCAGCGGGACAGGCCGGCCCCAGGGGCTCCTCCCGACCAGTGCCACCGGAGCCAGCCCCAGGGGCTCCTCCCGGCCAGAGCCAGCGGGACGGGCCGGCCCCAGGGGCTCCTCCCGACCAGTGCCACCGGAGCCAGCCCCAGGGGCTCCTCCCGGCCGGAGCCAGCGGGACGGGGGCTTGTGCACGCTGTGGCTGACTCCTAGCAGAGGCGCTCCGGGGGGGCTGGCAGGGCACCTCCTCCGGCCCATCACTGCAGAGTCAGTGCCCCCCGGGGCAGGCCACGGAGGCCCACGGAGATGTGGTGACTCAGCCCAGGTCGGGTCCCGGTCCCCCAGCTTCCAGCCCGGCTGTGTTCAGTGCGTCCCCCGTTCCCCTGCCCTGCACAGCAGCTGGTGAGCCCGGCCCGGCGTGGGGGACACAGAACGGGGTCCAGCCTAGTGCCCAGCCTAGCCCTGAGCTCCCTGCTGGGCGCAGAGTGGCGGGGTGCCAGTGTGTCCCTGCCCAGACGCTGGCTCTGGCCCCTCTCCGCCTGCCTCCCCATGTACTGGGGGATGCGTCTGTCAGGGCAGCGCCTGGCACCAGGTGCCCACTGCTGGGGGCTCTCCCTAACCATCAGCCTTTCGCTGCTCCTGTGCCCCCAGGTCCTCGCCACGGGCCTCAGCGCCCTCTACTCCTCGCTGCCCCGCAAGATCGAGGTGCGGGCGGACGACTGGCACTGCCTGCGCCGTGAGGACTGGATGGGGGTGCCCGCCCTCGTCCTCTTCATGAACTCGCTGGAGTTCTGCAACGCCGTCATCCAGGTGGGCAGGCCACAGCCCGCGGGCGCCCGCCTCAGCCCGCCCTGCCCGGCACCGCGCCCGCCTCA